CTCTCGTATTTTGCGCAATATAAATGAATAACCTTTAACCTTTAAATAATAATCCCAAAACTGAGCAGAAATTTGTGTAACCAGCAACTAATTGTAACTCCTGAATATATTAATAGTAACTTGATATTACCACAGGGGCAATGTGGGTCAGTCTGTCAAGTTTGAGTGGAGTGGGAATATATATATTTATATATATTTAGGAAAATCTTAATCCCAAGTTGAAACTTAAGCATGTCACTGTCAGTACAAAAAATCCTTATAAAGTTTTTGGCATGAATCAGACTAGGACTGGAAACAAGCCCGGATCTCACAACAATACGTGTTTTCCCAAGCCCACGTGTATGTGTATCGTATGTTTTTACACTGTAGTTTTATGAAACCTTAGCAACAATATTAAGGGAAATATCTTAAGCAAAATAATCACGTTTTCACGTAAAAGCTTTTTTCAGTATTCAAAAGCACTTTTACCAATATACGACATCTACAAAATTAAAAATAAGTTGAATTACCACAGTTAAAATGTTTAATAATATTCATATTGCTAGATTAAAATTAGTTTATGGGTTCCAATAAACAAAGTGAACACATTTGCAATAAAATTACTGCATACACAGTTTTCATTAGCCCTATTTCAAGAGCGATCAAACTTAGCAACTGACCAATCAGCACAAGGCAAAAATCTTGCACATGTCCCATAAGCACACGTACGTTTACACTTTCGAGATCTTAGCAAAAAAAATATTAAAGCGACTGGACTTAGTTGAAAGGAATATATGAGCCAAACTGAAAAGCAACAACATTGTCTTCTTTACTGCAGGTGTAAAGGTGGCATCCTCCATCGCATTTGAAATACTTGCATTCTGGCGCCCTCATACACTTCACAGCACATCGAATGCAGCTTCCTGTCGAGTTTTGAGTCGTTATTGAACGATGAAAGTTTAAAGACTTGTAATAAGTTGAGTGTTCAGCCATTTTGTCTGCACAAAAATATACAGAGGTAAATACATTTTTTCATTTCAAGTTTATTCTTTTTTTTTTAATTAACTTTTTACACCTGCTTACTAAAACAAGCATTGTTTCGGACAAGAAAAAATTTAACTATACTGCTAAAGACGTTTAATCCGATACATGGCAAGTTATTATACGTTTAAATAAAGTTATGGTAGTAATACAATAATGATACTGCTACCACAGTAACAACAGTTGTTGTTATTACTATCATTACCGTCATCATCATCCTCTCCATCATCATCATCGTCGTCATTAGCACCACCAATTGATTTTCTTTGTATGCCAAATAATCGTTCTTATGATGCGACATAATCTTTTTCTTTTTTTTCTTTTTAAGATTTCAGTACCTTTAAGCCTACTTGTACCTCAATGATTGTGTTTGTTTGTTTTTTTTTTGTTTTTTTTTTTTCACTTTCTTTACACCATTTTAACTAAAGGACCCACCCCAGGCATGCGTAATTGATCCTAAAACCTTGTGATTGGAAGGCAAGCAAATTAACCATAAAGCGTTTCAATGGCACTCCAATATGAGTTTTATAAAACTACTGAGTGTATATAATAGGAAGGTACGTCAGGTCTATTCGGATTTTTTGAAACATCTATAAAGTATCCTTTTGAAGTATTTATGCCTATTTTTAAAGAAACAAAATCAATTAAATTCAATCAATTTCGTAAACAAATATTTTCAAATTCTATTTCACTTAGTGCTGTAATTCGTAGTGTGTTGAGATATTGTTGAAAACTAAAGCTTTCCTAGCTATTAAATTTATTCCGCTGAACATTGTGAAGATGTACTAAATTATCAATTTAATATAAATTTACCTGCTGAGCATCCAAGAACCTCAAATCGTAAACTTATATGAGAATACCAGTCAGTTGGATGAACACGGACGAACTGGGCGTAGACAGGGTCAGAAAGTATGTTTGTCACCATAGTGTCATGATCCGAATTTCCAACAAAATTCTATAAATACCACACAGCATAAAGGTTAACATTGATTTCTCCAACACTTCAATCGGTTATAACCAGTGGCGTAATACCAGTGGTTCAGGCAGTTCTGTAAACCGGGGCTCCCGGTGTACAGAGGCTCCACCCCATTAATAAATTAATAGGAATCAAAAAATATGTAGGATTTCATCATAAATAAACGTGTATAAATTGTCATTTGATAATAGGCCTTAATATGAATGCATGGTCACACTATAATTTATTGGTGGAATATCAAATTTGAGTCGCCTTAAATTCAACACCTCAGCCCCACCCTGGTTGCAGCTGAAATAGAAAGTTTATGACACTTGTAGATAGATAATCATAAATGACACTCTCTGACTAAAAATTTGAATTTCTGTTATCACCTATTTACTTTTAATTTTGTCAAATTTAAGGCCTCCTCCCGATTTTTTATTAATTTATTTATTATCCTTGGAAAAGTTAATACAAGCGAAAACATTTTCATTTCATTTATCCTCTCGTAAGGAAAAACATAACACAAGAACAAGAACAACCGAGACACGATTCCCAACAACGAACTGAATCAAACTACAGTATAAAAATGGTCTCCTCAAGGAACATAAACAATACAATCAAGCCAAGAATGCAAAAGGGCACTCACCATGGTGTACGTAAAAATAATAATAATAATTATAATAATATGAATAGAAATAGTCCTTATAATAATAATAATAACAACAACAACATTACAGAATATCAAGAAGCACAAAAAACCAACATTCTAAACTTGCAGCAGCATTAATTACATTAAAATTATGTTTTTTAAATATGAAAAAATTAGGAAAGATTAAAAAATATATTTGAAAAATATAAAACGATGTACATTACCTGACGATTGCCACTACCAAGTGGCTCTCCTATACTAGACATCTTTACATAGAAAACATAAAAATAATAATTTAAAAGATTCTATCAGATCACCAATAAAATATTGGAATTAAAATGTGATGCCAATTAAAACAATTTACTGTGAACTAAGTCGATCATGCCTGTCAAAGGTATTTGATTATTGTCAAGGCATGATCACACTATTGTAAGAAAAGAAAAAAAATAATGGAATAAATACAAAGCTGACCCCCCAAACATGTTTGTGGGCCCCCTCTGACTTGGCAGAGCCCCGATTATTTTTCCCTGACCTCTAAGGGGTCCGCAGACCCCAGGTACCACTGATCTCGCCGATTTTAACTATTGCACGCCACGAGCGCGTCTTCTGATAACCCTTTAAAAATATTTATTCGTGCCTGTTTCTGCTGAGCAAAAAACTCGTGTTTTTAAACGGTTATTAAAAAACACGTCTTTTTCCCCAGTGGAAACGGGCCACAAAACAAAAACACGGTTAGGAATGCGTTCTAAAAATGCGTGTTTTTACACGCATTCGTTATAGGGTTCGCGCTCAGAAAACGCGTGTTTTGTGGTACACTTTTCAGTTGAGTCATGATCCATCGGCGACAAAAAATGGCCTCTTCATTGGTTTGATCGCTGTTCCGCAGGAAATTCGGGGCGGAGAAAAAAATCAAACTTGACTGACTTGATATTGATTTTTTTGTTCATAACATTATAAAGGAATACAATCTGATTTATTTCTCGTCGAGATACCAGGGTCATCCAGTTTAGTTTAGCCAACATAAATTATCGGTCACACTGCTTTTCCTGAAAATGCGCATTGTAGTACACTTGGTGGGGTTGAACTTCATTCCCCATGTTTTTGCCCTTCTTGCAAGAGTGTCGAGATCCTTTTGGAATAGTTGTTCATCAACCTGTGACTTTATTTTTCGGTATAGTAAGCAGTCATCAGCAAAGAGACGTGTTGTTCACTAACTGCATGGTTAATATCGTTGATGAATAGGAGGAATAAATGCGGTCCAAGCACAGTGCCTTGTGGCACTCCACTTTTAACCCTATTCCACCTGGGCGATTTACCATTTATCACTACTCTTTGGAGTCGATCAGAGAGAAAAGACTTGATCCAAGATTGGATATTTCCTCTGACTCCATAGTAGTCAAGCTTTTGAATTAACTTTTGATGTGATACATTGTCAAAAGCTTTAGAGAAGTCAAGCACAGCTATGTCTGTTGTATTCTGGTTGTCATAATTAGATGCCAGATCTCCCATCGCCATAACAAGTTGGGTTTTACATGACAGGCCCTTACGGAAGGCATGCTGGTTTTTATTTAAGATTTAGTGATTTTCAAGGAGCTGCATAAGTTGGCTGTATATGAATGTTATAATAATTTACAACAAACTGATGTTAATGAAACGGGTTTGTAATTGGCAGGATCTGATCGTGTTCCTTTTTTAAAAGGTGGCTTTCCTCCAATCTGATGGTAAAGTCCCTGTATCCAGCGATTGTTCAAAAATTACTTTCAGTATGGGAGCAATGACATCACCGGTAAGTTTTAGTGCCTTATTTGGTATGCAGCCTGGCCCCATAGCTTTGTTGACATTCAGGTTACTCAGTAGCTTGGCAATACCATCTACTGACACTCTGATGTTAGGTATACTCGGGTATGGGCTTTGTGGAAGACTCGACCTGGTGTCAGTTAAGTCGTCCTTGGTTAACACACTCCTAAATTTATCTGTCAATATCTGGGCTTTTTCTTGGTCTGAGATTATGTTTTTATCATTTACTTTTAATACCTGAACACCAGTATTGTCCTTTCGATTTGAATTTATAAATTGCCAGAAGAGCTTTGGGTTTTCCGTTGTCATTTCCTGAAGATGAGCGCGCTTGGCCCTACGGACTTCATATTTCACTGACTTCTTTAAGGACTTAAAATGTTCCCAGTCAACAGTTAATCCACTTTTCTTTGCTTTAACCTAGCTTCTATCTTTCTTCCTACGGTGTCTAATAAGGTTTGTATTTAGCCATGGTGGTTTTGTTTGTCCTCTAATTACTTTTCTGGGGACGGATTTCTCAATTAGCTAAGTGAGCTCTTCCTTAAAGTGGTTCCAGTTTTCTTCCACGGATCTGGACTGCGGTGATGACTGTATAAATTCATTATTTAATTTCTCAGTAGAATCGAAGAACTTAGATTCATCGACATCTTTCCATCTAAGGATAGTTCAGGGTTCTTTGATAGTGCGTGGTGTTCTGTTTCTAATTTCGGCCAGAACAGTAGTATGGTCACTATTTCCTGAACGCAGTTGGATATTTTGAATTAGATTTGGTAGAGTTGTAAACAGCAGGTCTAGAATGTTTTGGTTCCACTGGTTGGGTCTTTCCTAGTAGTAAAGTTGACTTTTTGGTCTAGATGACAGTCATCGGCAATATTAATGATCTTTGACTGAATGCTCTTTGTCGGAATGTTTGTGTCATCTGGGCTCCATCGCATACCTGGTATATTGAAGTCACCACCCAAAACTATAAATGGTGAATTAACAGAGTTTTGTAATTTAAGCAAACGGTCTTCAAGACCATTTAAGGACTCGAGTTTATAAGAGTCAGGCTGTCGGTAGTATACCCCAACAAATACATCTTCTCCCTTGGGCTGAAATGACAGCTGACACCAGAGCAGTTCAGAATCATCTCCGCTCATGTCGCTTCTTTCAATTGATGGTATATTGTTAATTGCGACAAATACACCCCACCTTCTTGCGTTGAGGGAGTTAGATCAGCAAACTTAGGTACAACGGTCTTGCGACTAATGGTAGTTTTATGTTGAGGACTGGAGGTAACCTTTGGGTTGAACTCCACTGAGTTCTCACTATCAGAATTCTCAAATATTAATAGACTACCAAATGAGTTTTGAGATTCAAAATTGTCAACAGTGAATAACGAACTAGCAAAATTCAAAACTTCGCATGATGGACAAATCCAGTTGAAATTTTGCAAATTCAAATAGTAATTATATCTATTCTCTGTTATGCCAGAACACCTGTTGTGGATCCACGATCTACATCCATCACATTCCATTGCCTGGTCGTTGTTTCTAACTGCATAGTGACATATTCCACATGGAAATTTAGGTTTCCTACCCCTCCTAATAGGTCCTGGATTTTTTTCAATATCCCCTGCTGTTGCTAAAACGTCAATGTTTAAAAGTTTGTAATTTTGTATACTGTGTCCTCCTTTCCCTCTATACAGTTTAAATATTAAATATGTACTAAGTAAAACATTTTTGGACTCAGATACTGGCTTATTGGTACCACTCCAGGGTGTTGCTAGAGCTTCACTCACACTGCTAGGCCCGGCTCTGGCCTTCTGCTTGACACCTCCTCTAGGTAGCTCAACCACTGAACGTTGTAGGCCTAGGGGGCCTAGGCCTAAGACTTGAATTTCAGTTCGAAGGACAGACAAATTAAAATGTATATTTCTCCTACCGTACAAGGTCCACAATACTTGATATAATGTTTAAAAAGGCCTCTCTATGACTTGTATCTAACGAACCAAGTTGCCCAAGTTGTAAGTATAGGAGAACAAAATGGAGTAATGCTTAACAACTTCTTACCCTGCAGGTCCCTCTTTTCAACATGGCTTCTTTGCCGCGGTTTGCAAGCTTAGGTACTCTCACCTTAAAACTGACAATTTTTACAAATTCAAAACACCAAAGCGTGCCAAAGCAGTAGGACAGATACTAAGATGGACAGTTATCATTAAAACCAGCCAAAGATGTTCACAACAAAAAGGTGATAATTAAAGATTAAAATTTGTCCGAACAGATAAGAGTAAAAATTATTGCCACTCTCCCAAGGTAATAGCGCCCTCTTCGTGGTGTATCGCAAGAAGTAAGGTCAGCTTCAACTTCCGTTGGTGACCGTCATTTAAGGTCCGCCCACCTGCCAATGCCCGCATTACCGTGTCTCTATAATTAGTTGCACTTTTCACTTGAAACGCGTTCAGAAGGAATTTCACCGTTTATAAAAAAACAAAAACAAAAAAAAAGAACGTTTTTTTGGCGTTATTTAGCAGAAACACGCCCTTCATAGAAACGAAAAATCCATATTTCTTCGTTTATGCGCTATGCCAGTTTGTCTAAAACTAAATAATGTAGTTGCACTTTTTACACTGTGAAAAGGTGAGATCGATGTACATAATCAATCCCAGCAGGGTTTCCCCCTTGGCGTCTCTCCTCCCTGGAGTCATTTTTGCTTCACTCTCTGTATACAAATTTGGAACAACCTAATAAAAATGCTGCGCACTGGCCTCTTTACGTTCCAAGTGTGGACTCAGAAATACAGGAATAGTGTCCGATGGGAGCATATAATTTACTATAATTTATTTTGGTGAAATTACAATTTATACAGTATAGTACCGTAATCAATAGTCCCGCCGCAAATTCCAACTCAGAAATAACAATATGGAGTCTGGCGGGAGAGCCTCCAGCAAAAAATAAATAAAAGAGAAATATACAAATATAAAATGTTCGAGTCGGGGATGATGTTTCGGCGGGAATAGTTTTATTATGGATTACCGGTATTTCAGTAAAAGAAAAAATATATACATGTAATTTTTAACTGGATATCATTTACTCTAGTCGGCAAATTTATATATTTTAAGGGTCCTGACTATTATAGTCTCGGACATGGTCCTCTTAGAACCCATTTACGCCACTGGACATAATATACAAGTACTGGCAACTTATTTCAATAATAATATAAACAATTTAAATGAAAATATACCGTATTATTTGAATATCTGAAACAAATCCAGATAGTCAAGTCAATCTACCGAATTACCCGGAAGTAATTGCAATAGTTTTAATTTCAACTGTATTGTACTTAATGTGTACCCTACAACATCATATTAAAAATCTGGAAAAAAAAAACAAATTTTAGTGGAAGTCACCTAAATTTCGATATATAAATATTTAATATCTGGGTTAAAGGTCATAACAATATCATTTTTTAACTATTGGTCTTAAATTGCTCAGATATTCCTATTATGGGTATTGTGGTCTGGGAATGACCGAAAGCGCCTTTATTGAATATTGACCAATATTGAAAGACAGTTTTAAGGTCATGATAATATATTAGGTGTCAAATTGCTCAAACTTTGTATGATCCTGTTTGGTCAAATGAGAAATATGGACTGAAAATGAGCGGAAGTGCACATAAAAAAAAATTCTTACAATATCTCTTAAACTATGGATTGTAAAAACTTGAGACTAATCACAAATTATACACAACCATTCCTGTATCTAACATGTGTTTCTGATGTTAATAAAGGTCTGAACTTTGACCCAATCTGTTTATACCATAATTGGCATATTCGATATTTTTCAAAACAAAAAAAAATATTAGGTGTTTTACATAAAGAAACTACCTCATTATTATTTGAAAATGAAATTATAGGGCCTACCACAGGCTAGAACTTGTTATTAGACATTAATTTTAAGGGGTCAAAATAGCAATACCTAATTATGGAATCAAACTATTATACTAGTGTGGTCAATGATAAAATATCAAAGCAACAACAATTGTAATGTCAGGCCTATGCATTTTCTTAAGCTATATTTATACATGTCTTGTTCATCGACCAATCAACCGCAAATCAAATATCTCATTGATTTTGAAATTTTAAATTAAATAACAATTTCATAAATAACCAAGAAATTGGTTCAAATGGTAATCAAGATTCTCACATCGTGGCACGTAACATAAGCCACCGTAATGTCAAGTCAAAATAGTGATGTAATGTTGTTGTAAATGATGTTTGCCTGCTTTGAACATATTTTATTGACACAATTATTATATTATTATTATAGTATTGTATGATGTATTGTAAGAGTATGATTTTCATAATATTCAGTTTTATATTTTCTAATTAGTTCTGACCAAGAAACCCAGACTCAAAACTACCGGGCCTGTGTCCAGCAGAGGGTAGTCCTTACCTCTAAATAATTTGATACCCGGTAAGTAATAATTTGCATCATCAAGCTATTAACAAAAACATAAAATACATTATAGAATCCAGAAAAGAGCATACACACTTACTTAATACGTATATAATCGAGAAAAAAAACTGCAATACACATTTAAAATGGCGCATACTAAATTAGGCTAAAAGCATACTATTAGACATCACTTTTAATGATTTTTGGTACTTTATTTTACAATTGTTATATAGACATAATATTTGTAATATCAAAGCAATTTTACTGTACAAATGCTAACAATCTAGCGTTTTACAGTTTCTTATCTCTCTAGGCCAATTTAAGTGTGCTTGGTCTACTGCTCAGAACATTTCCGAATCCTACTTTGCAAACTGAAACCCAGTTTGCCAAATGTTAACTTAACAGCAACATAGACAATTATTAACAGAAACATTAGTATCTAATAAACTCTAAAATTAGCCTAAACACAATACTTAAATATGTATAATACTGGAAAAAAAAATGCAATACACATTTAAAAAAGGCACATACCGGTACTGAATTAGGCTAAAAGCATATTATCAGACATCATATTTTTAATTATTTTCAGTACTTTATTTCACAATGGTATAGACTTAATATTATCAAATTTGGCGTGGCAACAGCCCATTCCGTTTGAGCCAAGACCTAGTGATAAAAATTCATCAGTTTTTGAGTGCATTAGACGATTACTCGAAAAGGGTTGATGGCATGGTATTTTCATTAGAAAAAAAATAAATAAATAAAAAAAAAAAACATATCTTATTTAATATAGCTAAAACAAATCATAGACAAATAGGTTTGTTGCTCCTTTTAGGTCACAGCATTAATATGTTTTTAGACACATAATTTGATAAATAGATTTAATACTGCTTTTTTTATGATACATTATATTTAAATTAAATTGCTTAGTATCGTAAGGTACACGCTTTAAAGTACCATTTTTGGTCAAAAAGTAAATGTTTTGCCATTTTTGCGGTAAATAACCTAAGACATACTGTTAACTCCGAAATAAAAAAAAATGGATAATGTCTGAAATTTGTATTCGTGTTTTATTTTTTTATGTGGCCAGTATTTGAAAAAGTATCAGACGAAAAGGTTGTTAGTTTAATCAGGGAACAGTGAAATTATATCTCGCCTTTATTTACCAAAATATATATTACTAAATTTAGCAAAAAGTCATAAAAAAAACAGTTGTTTTAGTAATATTAGGGTCAGAAGATTAAATTACATAATATGTCATTATACATCGTTCGATAGATAATTTCAGTAAGTTCGTATGACGCTCACTATATTCATATTGAATCTTGAGTGGTGGACTACCTTTAACAAAACTTTTAAATACGTGTAATTTTAAAAATTTACAATTCAGCGTGACAACAACCCATTGCGTGGGAACCAAGGCCTGATGATGAGTATCCACTATTTTTTTTAGAAAGTATGACACTTTAATAAAAAAAAAACAAAAAAAAACATATCTTATTTAATATAGCTAAAACAAATCATAGACAAATAGGTTTGTTGCTCCTTTTAGGTCACAGCATTAATATAATGTTTTTAGACACATAATTTGATAAACAGATTTAATACTGCTTTCTTTATGATACCATATATTTAAATTAAATTGCTTAGTATCGTAAGGTACACGCTTTAATGTACCATTTTTGGTCAAAAAGTAAATGTTTTGCCATTTTTGCGGTAAATAACATATGACATACTGTTAACTTCGAAATAAAAAAAATGGATAATGTCTGAAATTTGTATTCGTGTTTTATTTTGTATGTGGCCAGTATTTGAAAGTATCAGACGAAAAGGTTGTTAGTTTAATCAGAGAAACAGTGAAATTATATCTCGACTTTATTTTAACAAAATATATATTACTAAATTTAGCAAAAATAGTCATAAAAAACAGTTGTTTTAGTAATATTAGGGTCAGAAGTTTAAATTATATAATATGTCATTATATACATCGTTCGATAGATAATTTCAATAGCTTCGTATGACGCTAACTATATTCATATTGAATCTTGAATGGTGGACTACCTTTAAAAAAACTTTTAAATACGTGTAATTTTAAAAATTTACAAACGTGGGAACCAAGGCCTGATGATGAGTATCCACTATTTTTTTAGAAAGTATGACACAAAACGTTTTGTAGCTTAGTGTTTTTTAGTGTAAAACATGTATTTTATTTAAATTAATTAATTATTATTATTATTATTATTATTATAATATTATTATTAGTATTATTATTATTGTTATTTTGTTAATTTAGCCAAAAATATCATAAAAATACGTTTTTATAGTGTTTTTTGAGTCACAAATATAAAATAATGTAACATCATCAACATTATTTGATAGATAAATTGAATTTGGGTAAAAACGTAAAAAAAAATGCCATTTATGGTCAAATTTGATTTCATTCACTAATAATATTTTTCTAGATTTTTTATGTTATTCCTCAATAAATTCTAAGTTGAAAACAATTATTTTCATTACTATTATAATTTGTTTCGGTTGTGTTTTTTTTTTCGTAGACTAACTGACTAGCAAAGCGTTCGATAAAGTCAACCACTGGACGTTGTTTAAGACGCTGGTTGAACGAGGTACCCCCAACCCTGTTATTCAAGTCCTTCGATCATGGTGTCGGTCGCAGGAGTTTGTTGTCAGGTATGGTAGCTTCATATCTGATCCTTTCTCCGTTAGGAACGGAGTGCGTCAAGGGGGAGTCATGTCTCCATTACTGTATAATGTAGTCACTGATCCGCTTTATGTACTTTTAGATAATCCTAATGTCGGATGTGAATTAAACGGTACTAAAATCAATTGTTTAAGCCATGCTGATGATCTGGTATTTATGGATCCATCAGCAGCAGGACTACAAAGTCTTATTTATTTTTGTAATATAGTTGCTAGTGATTATAATATCACGTTTCATGAGTCTAAATCAAAATGTATGGTAATCTGTCCTAAGGTGCGTAACCTGCAAGGCGAGCCTCGTATTACACTTAAATCATCCCCTTTGTTATTTGTTAACCCTATTTGTAACGGCAACCGCGTTACCTTAAGGTTGGGATACATTTCGACATTTCCTGGCAATGTCACGAACGCAGAAATTGCTGTGGAGCATGGATGTTTTGTCAGTTTTTCTCCTCTTTAATCTCCGACTCCAAGATAATTCGATAAGTTAATGTTTCAAATTGTAAGTAAGTTTAACTAGTATAATCAATATAATTCACAGTTAATGTTATCTTCTCAGTTTTCGTGAATACACTACTAGTTTTAGTTGAGATACGAGATATGCACGTGTAAAACCGTGTGTGTGTGTGCAGCCATTGCTGTACAACTCAATGTAGGCCTATCAGTAATTAACGAGTTTAGATTTAATATTATGATGTTGGTATTCTTTTGTGAGAATAATCACTAGCATTAGTGTTAATTGGAGAACTGAATAACGTGTTAAATTATCGTGTACGCTTTTAAGAAGTTATGTATATCATGATCAAAGCCTTTTGCCACTACAGGAAATCTTGAATATCGTATCGCTAGCAACGAACTTGTCACGAAGTTTCGTTCCGCTTGAGTGGGCTCGAGCGTGTTATGAATACATTTTATATTACGCCCTCTATTGTTTATATTCTGGTTCCCGTATTAAATTCATAGATTATTGATACTTAACAGAAGTTAACTATGTTATAATACTATGAAAATTGTGATTATTGATTGATATTATGTTTAATGATTAACTTTATTTTGAGAATACGATTATAACTTCTTGTTCATAGGATGGATAAAATTTAGCTTCGCGTTGAACCTTGGAGATGCAAATACGTTTTCACCTTTCTTCATCTATCAAGTATTGTTGAATAAACACTTCAGAACATAGAAAGCGTTGAGACCCTTTTGTTGAGTTGTGCGACCCCCAGCTACAATTACCTACCTTGGTCACGTTATAAACAATAACCTAAGCGTTAGTGTGACGTTAAACGTCAATACCGTTCGATATGTATAAGACCTCTCTCAGTAGGAAATTTGGTAAATGCTCTATGACGACTAAATGTTATTTGTTTAAATGCTACTGTGTTAGTATATATTGTTCTACTCTTTGGTGTAGATATAACAAAGGTACTATAAGATCGTTAAAAGTCTGCTATAATAATGCCCTTCGTTTATTACTGCGACAACCGAGGCACTTTAGTGCAAGTTTTATGTTTGTATCCAATGGTGTACCGTCCTTTGACGAGTATCTTCGAAACTCTATACATAGTTTCAAGAACCGTGTTAAAATCAGCTCTAATTCAATAATTTTGGCCATTAAGCATTATGCTCTTTCCAATTCTAAAATGTATAAACAGTGGAACATTGTCGTACATTAAGATGATTTCCTGATCTTGATGTTTTTCTTGATTCAGTCTTTTTCACTTTTGTCTGATATTTATATGTATTTGTATTGGTTGAACTGTTGTTCTTTTGTATGGGCATGAAAGTCCGAAATAAAAGATGAATGAATGAATGAAGTAAACTATATAAAGACACTTACCGTTACTTGACAATTTGAATTCTTGGTTGGTTGGAAATGGTTACCATCGACACTGTAAAGAATCTCATAAGACGTCACCCATTGATCCCAGATTAAGCCGTCTGGTGCGATGTATTCGTTACGGCCTTGTGTAATTACCCCATGTACCTCATGTAGTTTACCGAGGTCAACTTGGATCCACTGGTATTGGTCACTGACATTTGACGACCATGACCCTGACATCCAAGCATATGCTTTAGTATTGAGTCGTCCACGAGGTACCCCATGTCGAAAATTAAATTCACTGGATGCAGACAGCTGTTCCGTGGGAATAGTCCCATCTTCAATACCAAGACGATCGATACACAACTCTGAGATAGATTATTACAATAGCTATGACAAATTAGGTGACATCTCTGAAGAAATTCATATATTTTTCCCCCAAAATATTTGCATAGTTTTCATATTTCTACTAATTTTAATTTTAGAAATTAAGAAATTGGGAATAATAATAAAGAATTATACGGTATAGAGTATGTGTATTGATGTAGTAATAATTTAAACATTTTTCCTGATTCTCACTGGGATTCAAAATAAAAACACATCGTTATTCTTCGTACTATGTTGTTGTTCTTACTACTACTACTACTGCTGCTACTGCTGTTGTTGTTGTTATTGTTATTGTTATTGTTATTATTATTATTAATAATAATATTATTATTATTGTTATTATAATTATTATTTATTGTGATTATTAATATTACTATTATTATTATTATTATTAATCATTATTATTATTATTATTATTATTATTATTATTATTATTATTGTTATTATTATTATTATCATTATCATCATCATTATTACCGTAAATGCTCGAATAAGCGTAGCGGCGCTTAATCGAGAGTATATAATATTACCCTGCGTGTAATGAACAGGGTTTTAAATTCAATGTATACAGGGTTAAAATGAATAAATTTAAACACAATGAAGACAAGCATTTCTTATAAACGTTTGTTTATCACAATATGACCTGTGATAGGCCTACTGAACTACGGGAAAACGTGAAATAGGTAACATAGAAACAGGCAAGTAAAGCGCCACGCCAATTTTTTTGGCCGCCAGAAATGTTATAAGCGCGCCGGCGCTTATTCGAGTATTTACTGTATTAGTATTGTTTATTTGATATTTGCACAAGTTGATTTGAGAACTGAAGATCATTATTGCTAATTTAATTGTAATTGTTAGACCTATCAATACAAAGAAACCAAGTTTCAATCTAAACAGGCCTAATGCTTGTATCTACATTATTATAATTGATAATTGTTTATATGCTGGTATTGAGTATTAGCTATAGATTAAATTCAATTCAGTCAACATTTATTTGGTATTCCCAAACACATGTCGGTGTGTACCTCTTTTACAAAATACAAAACATGCAATAATCAAAAATAGAGGGAAAAAACCCCTAACTGGCTGATCAACAAATATATTGCTAATAATCATAAACAAATTAAATTCTTAATTTATGTTCGATCTATCATGTAGACATTACTTACTTACATAAATACATTGACAACAGATATATCATTTATGTTCGATCCATCATGTAGACTTATATTAAGTACTTTGACAATAGATATTTTTTTAAAGATAGTTTTAGACCATTGTGAGTTTTTCGTAAGTTATGTGGCATTTGGTCAAAACAAACAATTCCATATTTTGGGTCCACTTATATGTAGAAAGTGCTGACTACAAGTCAGTCTTTTAAATGGAACATGCATTTCTATTTTATTTCTTAGATTGTGGGAAGTGTTATCATACGTAGAGAAAAATTTTAATGTTTAGAGCACGCTGTGATAATTCGCCACATTTAACGTTTGACATAAATCCTATGACGTTAAGTTTGTAAATGTCATGGATATTGATTATTTTTAATTTCTGAAATAATGGTTCATATCTGCCTAGAGTATAAGAAAGTTATAACCCTGACAGCCTTTTTTCAGAAGTTTTCAAAGGGCTTCCAGTGTGCTTTTGTAGGTGTTCCCCCAGATAAGATTCCCATATTGGAGATGGGGTAATATCAAAGTGTTATATAAGTTTATTAAAATATGGTGGGAAAAAAAAGATCTAACTTTTACGAGTACACCAATCGACCTAGCAATTTTGTTATTGGTCAACTTAATATGCTGCTTCCAGCTTAGATTTTCATTTAGCATGGCACCTAGAAACCTGGCGTTTTGTTTACGGAATAGTGAAATATTGTCCATTGTCAATTCGTCAAAATATTTATGTTTTCGTGGAGGCCTAAATACAACATAATTTGTTGTGTATATGAGAGTTTTGGTACATTACTTTGCATTTGTATTTTGGTTTAAGCATGGAGGTACAAAACGTATGCCGCCATGGTCGCAGGCCATGTTAAGTGTGAACCAATTTTAGAATTTATTATTTTAGGAAGATTTCTTTGCAATTACAGATCTTTCTTCAAAACAAAAAAAAAAGGACATACAGGTTCTTTTTTGTTTTGTTTTTTAATGCGGTTAGTTTGGTTAAACCAAAGTGCTAAAGTAGGGAAACATATATAGAATATTCTAATAAAGGTCTGATGTAGACCTTAAAGGCAGTAGTTAACGCCGGTTTGTTGAACCCACTAGGCTTAAGAAGCTCAACATGAAAACTTTTGATTGCCCTTCTTTATTACTGCTTTATTTATTTACTTATTATATACACAGGAAATAAAAAAAACACATGTTAGCGGCATGCTTAGAGAAAATAATGGGCTGAAGCCCGACGTCATGGGTGAATTCTCTCTAAATTGCTAACCTGTAAAAGAACATTAAAAAAGATTTTTTTTTTTTACATTTTATAAATTTATAATATATTTTATAAATTTATAATAAATTCATCTATAGAAAATATTAAAAAGATGGAAGATAAGCTGCAGACTACAATAAGGCAGAAGGTATTAATAATTCTGCCTCACTAAAATCCGCAACTTATCCTTTTGGCAAAAAAACAGGTTTGGCAAAGCAACAACGACCAACAACAATTATATTTGATCGCTAAACCGGTCTGGTTTTTGCTTATGAAGTAAGAATCATAATTAATGAATAGCGGCTACACTATATACATATTTTTTTTCATTATTAAAAAACATGGAAGAATAAAACTTCTTAACTACTGCTACTACTACTACTACTCCTGTTAGGCCAACCATTACAATCTCTCAATGAATTAATTCTACTTATTAATGAATTATTTAGCTCTCAGATATTGTTTATTCAAAATGATACATACCCGACAGAACAGGGCTAATAATTAGCAACGAATTAACGAAAACGATTCTCAGAATGTCCACCATTGAATTCTGCTTGGTTATTACACTGAATTTATCTACGTTTGATGAGTTGTTAGTGTTAATGATATATAGAGTAAAGAAACCACCGCTCTACTACTATAATAATTTCATTCAACTAAATTGATATTGCTGTTGTCGTCGAATATAAGGACATAATGGTAGGAGGCCACAACATTTAAATGCCTACACTGCGAGTTTTTAATATGAACTTCTAAAAGTAATTTACATGCATGAAAAAACACCATACATTATCAATTGTAAAAGGGATGGCGCTGTTTATCTTAAAATCTACTACATGAAAGATTAAATGAGAACTTACCGTTTGAAATTTAATCATTATTTTATGAGTAATTAGTAGGGGGAGATAAGCCTTTGGTTCACAGTGCCATCACCATCGTCAGAATTTTTCGATTTTGACCTGCGTTTACATCTCGTGGAGGTTTTCAGATCCAGGCCTTTTCTTTTTGACCTGCTGGCGGCGTTGCTCCCAACGCTAAAGCTAGTGGCAGTAGTACTAGTACAGGGTACTAGCTCCTGGCGTGTCAGCCCACGTGGATCTACCGCTAGTACCAGTATCATTAATTATCGGACCTAAAACTTTTATGATGTCCGATTCGTTGTCTGACATAGTTATGATAAAGTATATTTAACTGAGTATGCTTAGAATTTCCAGGCCGGTTCCCCACTAAACTTGTCAAGCGAAAGCGTCGAGCGTCACCCGGCAAGCGAAGCGAATCACGCAGAGTTTACAAGAGTTGACTTTCGGTAAAGAATGTCTAGCTTCCAATGATTCGCTTGCCTGTTCCCACTGCTGACCGCGCGCGAAAACTCGAAATGGCGGGTGGCAACAGAGAAGTGTTGAAACTGATTCTGTTATCGCATTGATAGACGGAGAAAAGGGGCTGTGAGATGAAATCAGATAAAATCCTCAAGATTAACATTCCCAGAACTCCATAATGAATCAAAAGAGTGAATATAAACATAATTTTTTTTTAGTGCATATAT